ATTATTTTTTGATAGAATGTAAGAGAAACAAAACATCTAGTATACGAAGATAAAAATTAAACAGAATAGCTCAATCGTTTCTGGCGCACAGCATTCATCATTCAGTGTCCCCGGTTTTACTTATAGGAAAGCGTGTCTCTTGAAGGCACTGCGGACGAAAACAGCCGGAGAGGGAAACATCGTGATAGAAACAGAAACAAGAGAAACAGAAAAAATTATAGTTGTAAAACATCGAGTTAAGAAATACAATAGTTGCAAAACTTCGAAATTTAAAAATTAAAAAAATTATTAAAAAAATAAGACTAAAAAATAAACCACCTTATAAAACATCGCCCTGGACGATGTAACGGTTAGCTCGTAAGCTGAAACTGACTGTAGCCCGAAACCAAATATGTGAATTCAATTAGATACATATCTTTTGTCTTCCCACCCTCTTCGCGGATGCAATATCGGCAGCTTCCAGTAGCGTTTCTTTTCGGTTATGAGATGGCTATGTTCGACAATTCCCCACGAATACTGAAGAAACAAGCATCCGGCCATTTAGGATGGAATGATGGAGCCCCATTGCATTTTCGGATATTAAAAGTTTCTGGAGTATGCATGTTCGCTATAGCAATACACAATAATCTGCGAGTGCAAGAATATAGGTAGAATATTTTTACCCAGATTTCCTTAAATGAATTTGTAGACGTATTAGGTTGTTTTGCAGCAAGAGAGGTGAGAAATGAGCAAATGAGCTGAGAATGAGCCGGGACTCGAACCTGGAGCTCTCAAATATGCGCCGAGTATACTACCTTTACTCCACGAAGGCATACTGGAAGGAGGGAGACAATACCTTATACTTTATATATACACTTGGCGTGGCCTGTTATGACGACAAGACCAACTTATTTGGTTAGGAAGGTCGGGCTGCACCCACATCTGGTACCTTAAAAGGCGACTGGTGATTAAGGAACCCATCGCCAAATCTGGTGGTGACGAATTATTGTTCACCACTTTTTATTTCAGACGCCACTGTAGAACCATGACTTTTTTTTTTTTTTTTTTTTTTTTTTTAAAAAGCAGGAGACATGAAAAATGAGCAGTGTCCTCGCCGGGATTCGTACCTGGATCTCTCGAATACGCGGTGACTGTGTTACCGTTACACCACGAAGGCATGCTGGAAGGAGGGATAAAGTACCTTATAAACTCATAATATGTCTATGAAACATCAAGAACGAAACTAAACATTCAAAATCGATAAACAAGTAGAAATTACAGCTACGTACGGCAACAAACAAAAATTTGAAACTTATGTAGTTAGTTATTATACGAGTCATTATTTAACTAATTCTTTTTTGAAAATACGTTACTAGTTTTTAATGAAAAAGCACAATACAAAAACAATTAGTAAAAGGAAGGTGAACTGTATAATGCTACCTCATGTTAAACTTATTCGACTGTTGTCAAATTTTAAACTTATTCGACTGTTGTCAATTTTTAAATTAAAAAAAAATGGATAAATTTTAAAAAATTTATCCATTTTTTCTTTCACTGCTCTTAGTCTGTTCCCATTACATTCAATTAGTCTAGTTCAGGTATCAAACTGGCGGGCCGCTTGCATCCCCCGAAGCAAGAGACTACCCAGCACTCTTTTTATGCGACCCGTGAATACATTTCCAGTAAGTTAATTAGTTTTATTATGATAAGAATTTGAAGAAAATTCAGGAGCTTAAGGATTTTGAGTCCACTTTTACAATATTTTCATTGCTATTGAAAACAGAACCGTTCCTAGGTCATTGGCTGCCCGCGTACTTTCCTAATGATTTATAAAATTTTCATTTCATGCATACTAAGTACTTACATATAACAAATTGAATAAAAAGGACTTACATATTACAAGTACTTACAATGAATTAAAAATATTTAGGTGTATTATCGCGAGAGTCCGGCCGCCCGCGTACTTTTACGCGCTGCACCCCCGTTTGGAACGGCCCTGATTAAAAAAATGTCAGTAAAAATGTGAGCCACAAAAAAAAAATCTACAAATGGACGCTATAATATAAATCGTACTTAAAGATTTGAAGATACAGATTTGATTAACCTTCTTCGCTCGTATCAAAAGACAAATAACCTCAGTTATGAATTTTTGCAATAACAATAATGGCTTTGTTGGGAAATATATTTATATATGAATAGCTTTCCTTCCGCAGCTGAAAAATAATAGGTCTAAAAAAAGAACCAGACTGGCCACGCCATGAGGTGTTGCGGCTGAAAATTGTAGTAAGAAATAAAGTTTATAATTATTTTACATACAAATATACGTATTTTTTCAGTATGCTACAAAGAAAAATTTAATAAATAAAAGAAAGATAATAAGTTGCCATTATTTATTCTCAAGTTTCGCCTAACTTGGAATGTTTTAGTTATTTGTTTACTTTTAGTTTAAGTTATTTAGTGGTTAATTCCACTTATTAGAATTATTTGAACTAAACGTCGGTTTGAAGCAGACAAAAAATAAACATAAATTGGAATTTTTCCCCTTTGTGCCATTATTATTGCTATTTACGCCAGTTTTGACAAACACTTGGTAAATAAAATTTGAAGTTCAATTTAAAAATGTGTTTTGTTAAAAAAAAAGCTTTTCATTTTGGTGAAATAAAAGTTCGGCCTGTCAGCCGCTTTAAGATCGTGCATTCGGAGCGCATATAATTTGCATTTAAAAATCACTGGTTTAGTGTCCTTTTGGATTTTGAGGATTTCCGAACACACTTGAGATTACAATCATGAGTGTCATGATTCCCAAAGATTTGAAAGAAAACTAAATCAATCCGAAAAGACTACCCAGCAGTCTCTATTTTTAGACAGTGATGTCTAAGCTCATTTGCAAGTTTAACCCTTTTAGTAACATCTCATTTTATTCATTCTTTCCACAGTGCTTTCACTCAGTCACTCATTCTGACACCTTTCATCAAGTATTGTTATCGTCTTCAGGAAGATCAGTTTCTTAACCATCTGTTTACACGCATGACATTCGTTGATTCTAGCATTTGTTCTTCCGTCAAATGAAAAGAACACGTACTATGGAACAATAAACTGCTGCCCAGAATATGAAATATGAAGAGTTCTCGAAATATTAGCTAACACCGGTGTATCTTCAAACAATTTTTACCAAACTTCTTGTGAACATCCTTCAGCCCAAGACAGGGCTCTGCCAACAGACACTTTTTTTAAACCACGGAATCATCTAATAAGGTTTCCTCCGGAAACAAAGCGGAGAAAACACCGTCGTAAATAAAACATCTCATTTGGAGGAAAAAAAAAAAAAAAACATCATGCATTAAACGTCGCGGTAGAAAGTAAAGCAGAGACAAAACGCAAGTGTAAAGCATCATCGTACAAATCGCCAGGAGAAAACAAACAAATAAAAAACCCATCGCATGACGCATTAAAGTTATGAGTTTTCAAATTTTAAAAATTTCAGACGGATATTCGCTATTACGATATACAGTGCTTTGTGAGCACGAGAATAAATGGTGAATATTTTTACACATAATATTTCAAAATTTTGATTGACTTAATTTTTAACTGAAAAAGAACGAAGAAAAATTAAGTAATGAAAACCGAAAAATGAGCAGAAATTGTAGTTTCGTCAAATTTTACATTATAAAATCCTTTTCTTTTGCTGTTATTTGGCATTTTTTCAGTAAAGTAGGCGGTTTAGTTTGCTTTAGTTAATCTATCTTCCTAATTAATAATTTCATTCTCATTTCCAGATATGCCGGTGTTCAAAATTAAGAGAATAAACATGTTTTTTCAATTTCTCAAAAACTTCTGAGCCAAAAATGGAAAGTATGTCAAATAAAAATCCAAAAGTTCTGCTGCTGAATATCGAACCGCAGAGGTATACACGTATGTAGAGTTGCGATAGTTGTAGATATACAAACCGGTTATTTGTTCCGCTCATACACATGGGCGACAACCATGGTCTTTTATTATATTTGTTACGTGCTCTATTTAATTACTTGAACATGTATTATGTTGAATACTTTGCCCAGATGCAAAAAGCCATATGTTTTAAATAATTTTATTACAAATGAATGAAACGAATCAAATTTTTGCGAAATAAATTTTTCCCAAGAAAATAATTTCTCCCAAACTTACAAATAAAAAAAAAAAAAATTACGGATATCATTAATTGCAGCATGTCAATGTTAAGATACACAACATTTCAAGGGTGAAAAAGTATTTAAATAATACTTTGTAACTTAATTAAAACGACTATAAAAACACAATTTAATGCTTCCCAAAAAGTGATGTATTTTCGATTATAACTCGTAATCTCCTTGCATTAATTCAATTAATCCTTCCGTCAGATATGATAAAATATTTTTCTCTTTTTTATCGAAAGAATTTTTGTGCATTCGATTTTAATTGAAAATTCTTATTTTCTTAATTTTGTGAGAACATACATACTTTTTTATACATTACATGAAATTATGCGAAATATTATTCTTTCAAAAATTTAGCTGCATTCCTTTCAATCTCAATAAAATTTTTAAGAAGAAAATAAAAATTCTGCAAATTCTTTTCCTCCTCCTTAGCATACTGTTTTTATATTATTTATTATTATTTTATTATATAGTTTTATTTATATTTACATCATGAGCCATCTCTTTATTTATTTCAACAAAGATCATTTAAGTTCATCATACATATTATAAAGCATATAAATTTGTAGCCATTTTTTTTTTATTTATTATCTGAAACGTACTGCATTGATAGAGTCTGTTTATGTTGTTTCTCTCTTCGTAATGATGCAAATGGTGGGCTAATTTACATTTGTTTCTCTAATTTAGTACTTCCGAATGAAACCCAAAGACAGAAACAAGTATATAAGAAAAACGGCACTTATATGTCTTCTTTTTGATGTCACTGAAGCACTACAGTTTCAAAAGCTTAACAAAAACGCTTGCGTTAACAGAAACACTTACCTATACGAAAGAACCACCTAAGCCTATTAAGAATGGTTCACTCCATCTTGTAACCCAGCGAGCAGGTGAGCGGAAGTTCTATGGATGATAAATGAACAACTGTAGATTTGTGCGTAGTGAAAATAGTAAACCGAAGTCTCCGTAAGATTTACAAGGTAAGACTATACTGCAAATTTCTCTTATAATTATAATTATTCTGCATCCAAATCCTCATGTGCAATTTCAGTTCCATCTTCGTTTAGCATTTACTCAATTCTAAAATATTTTTCGCTTTTTCGTATTTAGATATATTATAAAAAAATCAATCAAGATGAAACTTAGTTTATCTTACATGATCTCGTACAGCCTTGTATTATCACCTTCTGGTAAACAGAAATGTAAATTATAAGCAATACTAACACTGGGGGGGGGGAGAGGAGAGGCATAATTTACTTGATGGTAGATTTCGATACTTGGGGTAAAGCACTGGGTATAAGAACTGAAATAAAAATCTCGGGGTATAAGCACTGAACATCTGACAAATAATATATTTTGTAAAAATAATTTTAGCAGAATCTTTCAGTATGAAGTTCTATCCATGTTCTCTTTTATACAATTTCGTTAGAAATTCAACGTTGCCTTCAGCGCATAATCCATCAATGAATTTTTCATCGGACTTATTTCGAAGCTCATTCGTTACAGCACCCTAATTAAAAAGATCCTGAATTTTTCAGTACGAATTTGATTTTAAACTTTAGAACCTTTTTTCGACTTATCAGTAACAGTGTCGATCACAATTTACTTTCGTGATGCTTCCAAACAGTGACCAGGGCTTAATTTCTAAAATTAGAAGTGCCGGAGCCCTATGGAAGACTGTGAGGAAGGAAAGAAAAAATAAATAAATAAAATAGCTAAAAAATTAAAATAATAGATTTTAATTAATTTAATCACTTAAATAATTAAACAAATAAATAATAAATTTAAATTATGAAAAATGTAAGAGATATAGAAAAGGCTAATAAATTATTAAATTAATTTCATATAAATAGAAAAAAAAAAATCAGACCTTGTCTTATTTGGGGCACTGGCTGGAATTACAATTCCACTTAGCAGAAGAAGCAGCTCAGCCAATCTCTGTGAGTTTAAGCCCTGATTATACGTGTAATGTACTATTCCAAAGGATGACAGGTACCACTCTTTTTTTGCAGTACAAGGAGAATAGTGAGAATTCTAGAAACAGTATGAGGATATGGAAAGAAATTTAACGGAAAATGATAACTTTGAAAATAAAGAGGAGAGAGTTCAAGACTTTCTGATCGCTGAGACTAGTATTATTCTGTCGATATAAATACTAGTCGTCAAGCAGAAATTTTCCCTGAATACAACGTGAGAATAAACATAACGCTTCTCTGTACAAGCGACAGCAGTGGTTCCTCGTTTGGTTACATCATTCAGAAAGTCTACAGGAGCTCTGCAGTAGGAAGTCACTAGCGTGGAACGTGCACGACCAGGGTATCACTTTTAGTTCTTTGAGAAATACAAAATTTACCCAGTTTCATAAACTCATTGCATAGATTGGAGGGCTCTTTCCTTAAAAGTCTCAACCTCTGTGTAAGAGCGTGAGAGAAATACAGGCCTGCATTCAGAAGTTAGATTTTTTTTTTTTTTTTTTTAAGGTATGTTTACTATTAAAACAACATTTATGTGCTAAATTTGTGGTTCACTTACATAATAGAGGAGTCGGAGCCCTTTTCTGAAATTATAATTTATCTCAAAAACTGAGAAGTACCGGAGCCGGGCTGCATATTTCACAACTGCACATCAGCGTAGCCACTGAGGGAGGTGTTTCGAAAATGGACCAATGAGCTTCTATTGCTCTTATGACGCTAAATCTTCGTGAATGTGAGCGTATGTTGTTTAAGTTTTAATTTGCATTTGTTTCGCAGTTATAAATGTATGACGTAATAGTAGTGTTTGAAATTAATCAATTTCTTGACTTATTTAATAACTTCGGACGAATGGTAATATATTTCACAAAGAAAACCTTTTTAATTAACAATTTATTATTATTATAATTTTATTTATTTAGCATTCTAAACATTACAAAAAGAATAACATTCCATACATTATCACGCTCAAAGCAATATATAAAAAACATCACTGTTGCCACAAAAAAAATCTACACTATAGCGAACATATTAAATTATTGTGTATTAACTGAGTTCACGCACGTTCCTTAACATCCTCCCACCTTGCAATTTTAGGAAATTGCAACATATTCTTTACTCAGTTCATCAGTTTCTAGTTCTGATTCTTCAGAGAGAGGCCATTTATCCGGCTCTTGTTTAAGCCAATCCGGCCACTCCCACCATCTGCTCTGTAGCAATATTTTGGCATCGCACCCTCTAGAGGGAAGATCAGCTGGATTGCTTGAGCTTGGTACATAATGCCAGTCTTCCGAATTTGTGCATCTCCTTATTTCGGCTACATGATTTGCCACAAAAGCACTCAAGTGGGAGTCTTTTTTGCTCCATGTCAGAACTACAGACGAGTCACTCCAAAGGTACACTTGGCACTTTGTCAATCTAAGAGCGTAACCCAGCAACTCTAATCTGGTAATAGTTACTTCTTTGGCAAGCGCTACTCTTGATTTAAATAATACCAATTGTACTGAAGTTTTGCCCTCAAAATATGCACGTAAGAAAATGCATGCACCATAAGATACCTTACTAGCATCACTAAAACAATGTAGAGAGATAGAGCAGTCATCGAAGGGTCCAATCACAAGTCTTCTTGAAATTTTACAATAATTCAAGAAGTGTAGTCTTCTGAGCCAAGCCTGAAATTCTCTTTCTATACCTTGTGGAAGATTTTCATTCCAGGAAAGTTTCATCTTCCATGTTTTTTGCAGAATGAGTTTTAGAATTAACGTGGTTGAACTTGTAAATCCGATGGGATCGAATATCCTCTGTGAGACTGACAGAAGAGATCGTTTCGTGTGGGCACTCTCCGAAAATGTCAAAGGGGTTAAATTGCAATAGATTTCATCATTCTCAGTGTCCCATGAGAGTCCCAGAATTGGAATGCCCTTCTGATAGGAAGTCATGCTTCTATCTTTGAATGATGCAGCAGTCCACCCTCTAAAGTCAAAATCTCCTGAAGACATTAGAGTTTGGGACTCTTCTTTGAACTTGACTACTTCTTCTTCGGTTTCGAAACTAGCGATACAATTGTCGACATAAAAGGATTTCTTCAATCTAAGTGCCGTTCCTCTTAAATCTTGTGGAGCATTATCCAAATGGTAAGAAATCGTTGCTCCCAACAGGAATGGACTCGAAAAATGCCGAACACGACAGTGTCTGTAGGTAATAACCTCGGTTTTGTTTGAATCTTTCCACTACAGGAATTTCAAAATGTCTCTGTCTCTGACACACAAACTGATTTGTAAGAAAGATTTCCTTATATCGGCAGTAACACCAATTGCATGTTGCCGGATTTGTATCAAAAGTTTTGGAAGCATTTCTATTAAATTCGGCCCCTTTCCGAGGCATGCATTCAAGGAATTCCCATTTCCAGCCTTCAATGATGCATCGAATACAGGTCGCACTCTTTCGTAGTCAGACTGGAATCCTTGATTACTGCTTGATGAGATAAATAGTGACCAGTATCACTATTATTCGGAGTTATTTCAATTAGACCTTCCTCGTGCCAGCCTTTAATAATACCATCATATTCTTCGAAAAATCCCATCTTCTGGAGTCTTCGTGTATTGACGAAAAGTCATTTTTCCGCTTGATCTTTATTATTTTCAAGAAGCCGATGACTATCCTTCCAAGTCAAACAGACTTCACACCTATTGCCCTCGATTACTTTAATGTTCTCTAGGAAAAATTTGATCCTTTCATTGTCTAAATTCTCCTTAGTCTTCACTTCCGCCGGATCTTTTATGCCAATTGTCTCTAAATTCCATAGTTCTGTGAGATCCAAATAAGAAAGTCCGACGGTATCAAGCAAGGTATTATGACTTTGCACTGGGCCTTGTAGGGTCCAACCCAATTTTGTTTCAATGGCAATAAGGTTTCGTCAATTGGAATGATATTATTCGTCATCAACTGTCCGGAATAGTCGGCTCCTATTAACAATCCGATATCTGGTATATCTCTTCCAGAATCACTGATTTTGATTTTATGTTCTCGAAGTGAGGAACATATATGTTTGAGTTTCACTCTAGGAATGTATCCACAAATTTTGTCTTTATCTAAAACCGATAATTCGTATTTGAATTTATTTTCCGTTCCTTGTATTTCGATATCAAAAATACCATGGACCTGAGATTTCAGTTTCAACTCCACCAAACAAATTGTGGCTCTTGATCTAAGGGGACTAAATCTAGTCTCTTTACTATGTCTTTCCGTAAGTAAGATCTTTGTGACCCACTGTCAAAAAGCGTTCTCACAAGCTCCTTTTTTCCATTATGGACAATCTTCACCATAATAGTTTGGAGAAGAGTTGTTTGCAGTTTTTGGTTAGACAATAAAGTCTCACTCGTTTCGTTAGCTACTTTAGGTGCTTCCTTTTTTGAATTTCTAGAGCCTTTTAGTTCTCTGCACATCACCGTTACATGACGTTTGTTGCAAACTAGGCATTTCACAGAACTTTTACACTTTTCGGCAGCATGCCTAATTTTTAGGCAGTTAAAACAAGCTTTTTTCTTCCTTAGTAAATTTTTCTTATCTTCCAATGAAAGGCTGTGCAGCTTAAAGCACTCATAAGAATTATGTGTTTCCTTGTCACACCAAACACAAAAATTAAGCTGTTTCTTCTTTGAATCTCCTGCATAAATACAAGCTGCTGTGGCTGGAACCGAGTCAAATTTGTCTGGTGCAGAAAAACTTGTACGGGCCAACTGAAGACGCTCTTCACTTTCAACTTCAATTCGGAGAAAATGCAATAAATTTTCCAAATTTTCAGTGTGTGCAACACTTTCTCAACGCTGGCGAGATCGCTCCCATGCCTTCAGAATTTCTTCAGGTAGTGAAGACTCTACAAGGGGATACAGCATAGCTGCATAAGGCTGCTATCACACGTCGGTTTATTTCGGAAGAACAATTGTTTGGAACAATTTTTCTGCTTTGTCACAACAGCCAATCAACACAGATCGCTTTGGGGTTAACGC